TGAAATCACAGTAAGATTCCAGAATGAAAAAAGGTAACTGCTCAACAGTAATCATGCTCTGTTGATACCCGTCATTGCCTGTGATCTGCCTTGTTGTACTGCCTAGCACCTTGAAGTCATCTTAGTTTTCTAAAGACTTCACAGGCTGATGAGCAAATTAAAGTACGAAAGTACTCTAATCAGATTTCTCAGTGGGCTCAAGAAGCTTCTGTGGTATGTTCAGAGCTCAGAGTATTTTGTATGGTAAACACTGTTGTGAAAAACAGAAGCAAATAATTGCACAATGAAAGTAGACCAAGGGCATGGGCTGAGCCCCCTGCACACAGAGTAGATGGTAAATTTAGCTGCTGAAGTATGAGCACACAGTTTTAGCTGCTCAGGTATGAGCGCACAGTTCTCTACAGTTCCTTATCTTTCTCAGGCGCTTGGTCCTACCTCCATAAGAGCTGAAGGAATCTTCTTCTGTTTCTTAAAAGATGAATAATGAATATTGTGGAAGACAGAGGAGAAGGCACTGCTTGAAGACCTGGATGAAGTTGGAGGGAAGCTCACACTTAGTGGTCGCTCTGCAAGATTAGGAAAATTCAGAAGGGGAAGGTGAAAATGGGTGAACTGGTACATATCAGACGTGGGGTAAGAGGCACACAATGGGGTAATGCAAACTACTAAGGAAAATGCAATGCCTCCTTCATAGCCAGTTTTTATTTTAGCTTTTCTTTCAGATCATCCATTTAAGTCTGATTAGATGCATGGATTTCATAGCAACCTAGGTTAATGGTAATAACCTACAGCTACTTGAAAGGAGCCTGCAAGAAAGCTGACAAAATGCATCTTCTTTTATTCTAATTTAAAATCAGTATGAATCAAATGTTTTTTCCACCTACCCCCTCTATGCTACGTAACCCCTTTTCAAGACAGATACACTAACAGGACATTCTTTCTGTGTAAATTATTTTCCAAGTTCTGCATGGGAGAAAGTTATTCTGTCCCTGTCGATTTCCATTAACCCCACTTGTCTGAGTTCGTATCTTCACATTTCCTAGAAACTCTTAGTAAAACACAGCATTGTTTTAGCACAAATCTGAGTAAACACTTCTTGGACACACAGTGGCTTGGGGCTGCTTTTCTTTGGCTGATGTGACAGCATCTGTTCATGTGTTTGCTTGGCTAGTATGAGTTTCTTTAATCAGGATGGAAAAAACAAACTTCACCTGTCCCCACCTTTTTATCCTTGATGATATAATATGCTTACTTTTAGAGATTGTCTGCATGAATAGTTGTGCAAGAACATTATTTCCTGTTCATTCTCTCTTCATATATATGCGACTGCTTCCTCCCTTTTAATCTTTGACTTGGGTGTGTATTTAAATGAGAAAAGGGACTTAGATAGTAGGACAATAATAAAAAGTTGTAGATAGCTCTTCAGCTTTGAATTCATCCTTCGATCTGTAACCAGATTAACTCCCTGTACAGAAGACCTCTTTTAGTGACTCCCCTCTTTACCTCAGCATTTCTTTTTATAAAAGCTACATGAGTGAGGACAGTGAGGAACTGCAAAGCCATCATTTTACTTTAATGGATAATTCATTAGAAATGATGAGGAAGAGTTACCACCTGTAATTACATCACAGAATAGAATAGTTCAGTTAGAAGGAACCTACAATGATCATGTAGTCTAACTGCGTGACCGAGTCAGGGCTACCCAAAAGTTAAAGCGTGTTAAGGGCATTGTCCAACATCATCTCATGTCAAGTTAGCACCTCCCTGGGCACAGCTTTGAACCATTCCCACACAGTCTGTCCCTGGATCCCCGGGAGAGGAGACCAGCACCTGCCTCTCCAAGGCCCCTCCTCAGGAGGCTGCAGAGAGCACTGAGATTTCCCCTCAGCCTCCTTTTCCTCCAAGCTACGCAAACCTCATGTCCTCAGTCGCTCCTTGTAGGACATAGCTTTTATTGTTATTCTGGTTTATCAAAAGGCTGGGGGAGACCTCAGAGAAGCTGACCTGCTAGAACAGTTTTAGCTGCCATACAGCCTGGCGCTCCTGGGAGCTCAATGCAGATGCCATGTGCTTGAAACGAGAAATCCTCTTTAAAAAACCACAACATGGTTACGCAGATCCTAAAGCCTCTCCATTATACCGACAGGAAATGGGCTTGTCAGTCTGACCAAGAATGAAGGGATCTTACCTCTTTTCTTAAGTTCCGCATAGCAGCTATTGCAGACTTTGGCTGCTTGATCTTTGAGGTACTTCATAGGGTACTTGTTTCTTGAACAGTTTCGACATACAATCTGTTCCAGTGAGGAGAGATGCACATAAATATAATTTAAATTTATGTATATATACACATACAAACCAAATCCTCTGAGCTGGTTGGGAGAGGAAGATGGATACTGGACCAGGTATGACTCCTAAAACTGTGGCAGTCAGGGTAAGCCTGCTGACTGAAATGTGGTTACTGTAGATTTACGTTGTTGTAAGCCAAGCTGAATTGATCGCCGAGTTTGGTTTTACACCACTGCTGTGCCCGTCTCCCCAGTAACTTTTACTTCCCTACTAGTGATTAACAGAAAGACCACTTTAATATTACTTCTGCTTTCGTAACTTTGTTACTAAAATTGTTTTCTTAAGCAAGTTTGCATGTTCCTGGTATCCCTGTGTAGGTACGTACCAATTTTCTCTGTGGGATTAGAAAAAAGATTAATTAATGCTTTTTCATACTAGCAAAATTTACTGATAGTTTGATAAAAAAGAAATGTTGCTGAGGCTAAAAGACAGCCATAATTTAAAACAGGACTGCAAGTTTATGGGTATAAACAGATCTCTAGAGTCAGCGATGAAGGGACTAAACCAAGAAAGCTTATAGACCCCCTCGGCTGTAGGGCAAAAGGCAGCAGCTCTTCAGTGGAGAACAGGAGGAACTTTCCCTTTGGTTGCTGACCAAACCATGCTCTACTGCCGAGTTTCTTCTCTTTTCTTCGAAGATAATTTTACCAGCTGTTATTAAGGACAGGACATGGACTAGATATGCCACTGCTCAGAACAGAGACTGTATTTTCCGTATATTGCTTCAAGGTCCCTAGAGCTAGCTGTATACTAGATATAATGGCTGGACTCAGCAACAACTATCGTGCAAGCCTTCAACTACTAGCCTTCGGAAATTAATTTGGCCCTCAAGGGAAGGTTACTGTTGTTCCTACTAGAGTCATTGTAAACATAACGACCTAACTTAGCAAAGCACTAACGGGTTCTGTGAGGATTCTGGTCTTGACATTGCTGCAAGCGTGCAGAAGTTATTGCAGCGGCAGCCAGTGTCCTAGAGTTGTGAACAAAGCCTCCCGAGAAGCCCGTGCAGACCTTACCTTCCCACAGGCGTGACAGTGATGTCGCCTCAGAGTGAGAGTAAAGTCGCAGCCACAGTTCATGCACATCATGACATGGGACACAGGTACCAGAGTAGGAGGTCTCTCACCCAAGGATATTCCAAGCCTTTCCCTTAGCTTAAAATCAAACAAGGACAAATGAAGAAACATCCCCACCTCTTTCCAAGGTTTCACATCTATCGTGTACTGAGGGTCGCACCACTGGATGCAGCACTCCAGGTGTGGCTTCACTACCATTCTTTCTTCCCCAGTTAGTCTTATTTAGTAAAACTGAGGTTCTATGTAAGCTAAACCAGCATTTTTACTTTTTGCTAGATACAATCTTTGCCGCCTTAGCTAGGAGTAGTAAAAATGAAATTAGTGATATAATAATATACATCAGTTGTGCTGGTACAATTGGAATATTACAGGTGGGGTTTGCATGGGCAATGACTTTGCTGTGTATATGATATTAGTGTAAATAACTGGTAGTTTTGTTTTCTTAAAATGCATGAAATCTGTACCTATTTTTAGTTCATCCAAAATAGTTACCCTTTAGGGCAAAACAGTCTTTCTCCAGAAGAACTCTTGTTTAAAAGCAAAGACTATAGAGTGTGATTAACATTTCGTAGGTGGCCCATGAGCTGTGATGAGTTTCATTGTTTAAGCTTGGCATGCTGGTTTAAATTAAAGTAGTAAGAACATCTTGCCACTAGGAACTCTGTATTTTACAAGCTCCTCTCTTTCCTTCCCATCTCCCTTCCCCTTTCAAGCATTGAAAGACTTGGCCTCCTTTTACCTCCACGCTGCTGTGGAAAGTGGAAGTGTTGTGAGCGCTGTAGTCATCTGGGATGTGTCTGCTGATGCAGCTGTACCAGTCATCCCTTTCCGAGCAAGAGCTGTGGAATGAAATACAGCAGAGCAATCAATGCCATGCACAGCAGGGACTGAAACAACCTGTTCCTGGATCAGAGAGCAAAAGCTTCACTTTATGAATGTTTGCTTTTCCCCACTACTGCATTGAACTGATAATTTTCTGGCCAGGAACAAAACTGACTGTTGGATGTATTAAGTGGGACAGGTAGTGTAGATCCATGGTTAGGACTGTTGACTGAGAAAGAACTAAATGCCTAGAAAGTTTTTGAAAGCAGTCTCTGACTTCACTATAAGCTGCCCAATCCTAGATCACGTGGGACAATACGAATGTCTCTTTTTGTCATGTCTACCCTGGCTTTTAGGCACTAGTGCATGTTGTATTGGCATGGCTTGCTCGAAGTACGCGTGTTTGTGCTCATCTCTGCAGTGGGATGCTTAGATGATCTGCGTGTTGGGAGATGCAGAAGCCTGTCTCCACTGTGGAGATATGGGTGCTTTAACTTTCCTACAGCTCCATCGCAGACAATCTCCAGTCCCCTGGCGAGAGGCCAGGACAGCAGTTGGGAAGGAAGTCTCCATTCCCCCTGGCTGCAGTTCTGCGTGTAGGCCAGCAGTTCTGCGGACTGGCCCCTAGATGCCCCCTTTGCACAAGGCAGAGCAGCGAGCACCCCACCTCTCTCCCCGAAGAGCAGCAGGGCTCTTGGTGCATGGTACCTCCCAGATGGATCCGCTCTGTTGCAGCCACAAGCTGTCCTGCCTGGCAGCTGGTTTCTCCGCTGTGACTTCAGGCCGTGCTTCCCGTGCACAGCTCTAGCTGTTCCCAGCATCGGGCATGGGGGGAATGGGACCCGGTGTGGTCCCACCTCCCCAGGTCATATCCGCCTCACACATGCTAGCTACTCACTAGACATTGTTAAAATCAGCAGTGGCATCACTGCCAGCTGCTATTCATCTGTGATTTCCTCACTCTGTCCTCATGAAGGCCACCAAACAAGACATCTGAGAACAATTTGTCTTTTGTGGTCTTAAAAAAAAGGGCACAAAAGAAGAGGAAATGACGTATTTTATCAATGATCTCTGACAGCATCCCTCTGCATCATGAGCATAGCCCTTGTCTGAAAAACAACAGCCTCTCTAAAATTCAGCAAGCCTGGAGCAGAAATTGGAGCAGAAACTCTGAGCTAGTGTATCTACTGCATATAGGCTGACCTCTGCAAGCCAGGGGGTTGTGTTACAGGAGATCATCTCTGGCAAGAGTCACACTACCAGTCAATCCTTAATACTACTAAAAGTCCCGTCAAATTACACTTTCTAAGAATCCTGAAGATGTCTATCTTCCAGACAAATCATGTTGAAAGCCTGCAAAGCACTAGAAGAAGTCCTAGCTTCAGCCTTTCTATTGCTAATTCCTTCTTGGAAATTTTGTTCACTTGAGAATTAAGATACAACTAAAAAACCCCAACAAAAGAAAACACAAAGAAAATCATGGCCCATGTAGTAATGTAAATTAAAGCCACTTTGGGAAAGACAGATAAGAGGGACAATCTGCTACTAACTGGCCCCTTTAACCTCTTCTCCATTAAACATCTTTAGGGAGTGATCACAGGTTATTAGTGTCTAAATATGGGAATATCACCTGTCTGCTGATGAGTAAGATAAATATGTCAGTTGGCACTGACCTGTTCTTAATTAGCTATTTCACTGGTTGCATGAAAGCTCAGAGGGATTTTTGCTGAACCCCTGAGGCTCAGAGAAGCTCAGACCTTGATGCATTTCTGCCCCCTTTGGTCCTTGTGTGATTTTTGGGCTGCAGCTTTTGTGCTGAGCTATCAGTTATCTATGTTGACTCATATACTCTTCCTTAAGCAAACAGAGAGAGAGGGTCAGATTGTCACTGCAGTCTCGCAGACAGCAAGGACATTCATGGAACACAAACTGGACTGGGATGGGATTTTGTCACAGTGCTATCAATGACACTCAGAAGTAGCATTTTACGGAGATAACACAGACTGTGTTGTCCTGGTGCTTTGGTGTTTTATATGGCAGCACGTGTCCAAGAAGATCAATTCTGAAACGCAGATAAAAGTCTATGAGCAATACGAGCCTTCTCCATAAAGGCTCTGTGCTCAGAGCTGTTACCAGCACTCTGCAGGCCAGTAACATGGCTCGTCAGGCAAGTGGGCCATTTTCAGTGGGAGATGTAAAGATTTTACAGTGTCATCTGCTCAAATAGCGATGCCGACTTCTGGGCTTTGGTCATGCTCATTCTACTGCCTTTAGTCCCAGACACTCGTGCATTTCCTCAGTGCATCCACCGTGTCTCCTACAAACGTAAAGGCACTGAGATATGGGTTGTGATTGTTAACAACTGGCCTTCAGTGCAGACTTGAAGCACCTCAGTGTGAGCGGTCAAAGATAACAGCCTGTAGGGAAGCTTGAAGCCTTCTCATCCTTTTCTGTGTTTGGTGTTCCTTTTGGTGAGTGTCACAGGCCAAGGACTTCGCGTAGTGGGATTGTGCGAGCATGCTGTCCCACCCGTGTCCCATCAGCTCTGCCAGCCAGTACAGAAAAGGACAGGAAAAATGTTCTTGGGTGACTTATAGTACCTTCTAGTACCTGAAGAGGACCTACAGGAAAGCTGAGGAGGGACTGTGTTCAAGGGCAAGTAGCAATAGGATGAGGGTCAATGCTTTTAGAGCAAGGTAGATTTAGGTTAGATACTAGGAAGAAATTCTTTACGATTAGGGTGGTGAGACACTGGAGTAGGTTGCCCAGGGAAGTTGTGGATGCCCCATCCCTGGAAGTGGTCAAGGCCGGGCTGGATGAGGCTTTGAGCAACCTGATCTTAGTGGGAGGTGTCCCTGCCATGGCAGGGGAGTTGGAAAGAGATGATCTTTGAGGTCCCTTGCAACCCAAACCATTCTATGATTCTATGACTTAGTGCAGATTGGTCGCAGAGTGGACAGCACAAGGAAGGGAAGGGGGCCTGTGCTCTGATAAGTCAGTCTCTGTCTGGCTGTTATCAGAAGGACGACTTTAGTCTCAGGCCCTGGTTCTATCTACTACCAAAGAAACACAGTTTGCAGTGGCCTCACATGCTTCGTTTAGGCTAACTAAGCAGACTCGATGTGATTACAAAAGGTAAAGAAACAACATAACAGTGCAAGCAGAACATCCCAAGCTTCTCACTGGGGATGCCAACTTCATTTTCCCCAAATAAAGGGGAAACTCTCTAGGTTACAGAAGGACTGTACACGTCTTGCTTTTGTACCGGGCAGCAGACAATTCAGAAGTACTGTATGTGGATTTTGAGGGTTGTGATGAGTGTGCAGCTCTAAGAAAATCTCAGATATTTCTCATTTGCTGGTTATAAAAGGAAATAAAAAGGCTTTGACAGGTATGTGTGCTCTGCCCACAGATCACAAGTGCTCTGGGAAGAATGAGAGCTCCAAATTCTGATTTGGAATATGAAAGTTCCCTCCTTGTCTTCCTGTTGCACTGTGTAATTTAAGGAAGTCAGCTGTGTTTCCAGACATGCTGTATTTGGAGACTGATGGTAGGAAAATGAGTACTTAAAAGCACTGAAGACCTTGTTATTTGGAAGACTTAATTTTAATACCACTGCTAGTGTGCTACATCTTTTTTAGTAAACTACAGCTGAAAATCAAGCCAGCCACCTTTCTGCAGTAGCTCTGTGTAAATCTGCAGGGTAATTTTGGGCTAGAGGCATGAAAAAAATACCTTACATTGCTATCTTCTGATCAGAAACTGGCCTACAATCTTTCTGACATTAGCTTAGTGATCCTAGGACAGGCATCCTGGCTCCCAGTTGCAATCGGTACCAGCACTACACAAACCCGCTAGTGAAGTTCCTTTTATTAGAAGGAGCCATGAGATTGTCAGTAAGGTTTAATTTTGGCTTTGTTGTTTAAGCACTATTAAATGCTTTTATATCTATTGCATAGTATTACCTCATTACGGTTTTCTCCAGCAATTTTGCAACCCTAAGATACAATATACTCTTAGTGTCATAGGGAAAAGGTGTGAAAGATAGGTTTCTTAGACTTTCTTCTCTTTCCTTTCTCTTTAAGATGTTATCAAGAACTGACTTCTAATCTTTGCTCAATATTTGAGTTGAATTAGTTACAATTGATGAGCTTCACATTTATAATGACTATCTTTGTTGTGTAATCAAGCACCCAGCTGTTGTCTGTCACAGTAGCACAGGCTGAAATTGAGTTAAAGAAGAATGAGACACCAGTTAGACTAATCTAGAGATGCAGCTGTAGAATGTAACACCCTCTGCCGTGCCTGTTTGGGGACAGTACCTTGCTGACAGGGTCAGGCAATATTCATCATATTCAATCTTCAGGACGTTTTGGGCTTTTTCTGTCACTGGGCGGCTGACCTAGAAACAAATGCCAGGAACATGAATGTGGATGTGAGTTAACAGTCGGTAACCAGTACGCTATGCAAGTCTCAATGCATAGGGATCTATGATGTCCCAGCCATCTGTTTCATATTTTGAAGCAAAGAGGTAGACAGGTAGGGTTTTCTGTCTTTTGTGTTGCTGGTGTCATGAGGAATGGTCTCTATTTCAGTATGGTGGTTGTGCTAAAGCTAAAAAATAATTTTATCCAACTATGTAAGATAAAGTATCGGGATAAAGGATTCAGTTTTGATATAACAAGCTTAGGAGATGTTTAGTCTGACAAGAGCATTTTGGGCAAAAGGTTTTGGCTGTTCTTAGAATGAATGGAAATAACTTTCTTCCTGACATGCATCAGGGAAGGTTTAGGTTGGATCTCAGGAAGCCCTTCCTCATGGAGAGGGTGCTCAGGCACTGGGATGCACTGCCCAGGGAAGTGGTGGAGTCACCAACCCTGCAGGTGTTTAAGGAGAGGCTGGATGTGGCACTTAGTGCCATGGTCTGGCCCATGTGACGGTGTTGGGTCATGGGCTGGACTTGATCTCAGAGGGCTTTTCCAGCCTCAACAATTCTATGATTACATAGTGAAGCACTTGAGTTCAGTGAATGTCTGTCTACAGCAAGGCTCTCAGCCATGTAGTGTATTAGCTGCCTACTAATAGCAGCATCCATTAGGAGAAGCATAGCCTCATGGTGATATATTGTTATTAACAAGCACCTATTATGCCAGTGACAGTGTTTGAAATGTCCTCCAGAAATACCTGCTCTGCAACTCGTTTTCACTTAATGGCAGAGTGTTTTGGCACAGTTACAGGTGCCAATGGATGCTTG